CCGGGTCATGTGGCCAGCATGACTAAGCCGCTTCTGGCGAACCAGAGCAGCGCACGGAAACGTGTTTACCTTCCCACCGGAGCAGTACCTATTTATCTACTTGCACTTTGACGTGCTTTTGAACTGCTAGGTTGGCAGGAGCAGGGACCGAGCAATGGGAGCTCACCCCATCGCGGGAATTCGAACCACGACCTTCTGATCGGCAAGTCCTAGGCTCTGTGGTTTAACCCACAGCACCATCCACGTCCCTTAGCAGTATATAAATGCATCCAATAAGTAAAATAAATAAATAGCAGTTGAAAACAGCCCTACCCTCTGTGGATCTGTCTGCCCCCTGTAAAGCAATCACTGTTTGGCATCAGAGGGAGATTTACCCACTAGATTTCAGTCTCTTGCTGTACTGACCGAGCTACCAAGAGAAGGTTAAGGGGAGACATGCTAGAGAAAGCAGGTGTGATTCCAAGGCTGTAATGGAGGTACTTATATGTATCTACTCACAGGGAAATGTATCCACATTGCAGCCAAAGCAACCTGTGTGTTTGATCACCCCTGGAAGTCCACACTGCTGTTGTAGCTGCTTCTAAGTTGCAGCAGGAAGTTCTGTTATGTTCAGAATTTCCGAGTTGCGGAAGTTGGCGCTAATGCAAGAAACCCTATGCTATAGCACAGAGGGCTGAGTCCTGACTCAGAATAAGCAGATTAAGCAGGCAGAAAACCAGCTTAATGTGTAATCCAATTTCGTGGAGCAAAACTGGAGCCCTGGAGGTTCCCAATCTGGTGATTGGTACTTAGCGCTTCAAGCAACAGATTTCACTGTCAGGGCAAATGCCACTGGAAAGAACGGATAAGCTTGGGATCCCAATCCCACCCGTGTTGGAGACGCAAGGAAACCAAGTCCTGTGAGAAGCAGCTGAAAGAGCAGGGCAGTTTAGCCAGGTGAAGACAAAATGAAGAGGAGGTGCCACAGCGTCCTTCAAATATTTGAAAGGGTCGTCACACAGAAGATGGGGCAGACTTGATGGCTCTCCCTTTGTGGAATGTGTTATGTACTGAAGTTCTCACCCTGGGCCAGCAGGGGGATACTGTAGATAGTTATGCAAATGAAGGATCGAAAAGTGACGTTCAGTGATTGGATAGTTTTGTATGCAAATGAAGGATCGAAAAGTGACGTTCAGTGATTGGCTAGTTTTAGAAAATGGCAACAGTTACATTGTTCTGGAGCTCTATATAAGCAGGCTGACTGAGCTCCTCAGCTTAGTTCTGTTCCAGCTTAAAAAATAAAGAGCTGCTTTGGAGAGATCACTGTGTCGTCTGCTATGTCAACCCACAACTTAACAGAATGCTCTCCCCAGAGAAGCTCGCCTGGTGCCATTGATACATATCTTCAGGCACCAGACAAAAATATTCCTGTTTAACCAGGCCTTTGGCTTTTAACTATCTATGGCCTATGGGTGGAATGTTTCAACATATCCTCCCCAATTTTAATCTATGCATTATTATTTGGGGGCAAGCCATTTTCTAAGTAGCTTTGAGCTGCCATACCAGAAAAAAACGACTAAGAAATTAATAAGTGGTCCAAAGGCAACAGCTGTTGGACAGCGGATCAGACTCTCTTTCTCCACCAGCAGGGATGCTGTGGCTATTAAGTTTACTGCATTGAGCAGGGGTCACTAGATGATCTCCAAAGACTGTTCCAGCTCTAAAATCCTGTTCTTCGACTGACAAAGTCGCTGCTCAGGAGAGCAAGCAACTGGATTCAGGTTTGCTTCTTTTTAGAAGCAGTTCTGCTGCATCACAGTGGCAGAAATCTTTAATTCCCTTTAATTGCACAGCTCCATGTTTCCTGCAATGTGCTTCCTTCCTATCAAATGCCATCTATCTAGAGACACCTGTATGCCTCGTTCCTTGATGAAAAGATTTTTAAAGTTTCACCTGCTCCTCCCTGTTATCTCTATAGGCTATCTTGAGTTCAATTTCTTGGTAACGCCAGAGCGTGACATGACCTGGGGAAACTGGCTTTTGTCAAGTGGCATATCACAGGGTAGCGTAAGCAAGCAACAAACAAGCAAACAGGCATATATCCCTGTGGAGAGGGGTATGGAAAGACCTTCACTAAGGGGAGAACACAGGACAAGAGACCAAGGGAGGTCATACTGTTACGTGCAGCCCAGTCTCAAATAGGTGAGAGAGTTCACGGGTGGCAGCAGTTTTTTATTTTCTTGGAATAAAACTCACTGGAGGCTGTGGAGTCTTTGTGTATATATGGCTTTTATACACATCTATACAGTCTGAACAGAGGGACGCAGTGGCGCTGTGGGTTAAACCACAGAGCCTAAGACTTGCTGATCAGAAGGTCGGCAGTTCGAATCCCCGCGACGGGGTGAGCTCCCATTGCTCGGTCCCTGCTCCTGCCAACCTAGCAGTTTGAAAGCACATCAAAGTGCAAGTAGATAAATAGGTGGGAAGGTAAACAGCGTTTCCATGCGCTGCTCTGGTTCGCCAGAAGCGGCTTAGTCATGCTGGCCACGTGACCCGGAAGCTGTGCGCCGGCTCCCTCGGCCAATAAAGAGAGATAAGCGCTGCAACCCCAGAGTCGGCCACGACTGGACCTAATGGTCAGGGATCCCTTTATCATTATACAGTCTGAACATAAGAGAGAAGGACCCATAGCATTGGCACTCCAATAAATCTTGCTTTCCTGTTAAGTTTTCAGGGACATCCTCCCCAAGCTATACTTTTGGTTGTAGCAAAGAGAGCAAATTAAGCCTCTCTGTCTTCCCTACTCTGGATGTGACTAGCCTGAACTAGGTCCTGGCCTATTGCTCTCCTTCCCCTGGAATTACGTATATGGCATACAACCGGATGTGGAGGGGGCTTGCCTACTCCTCCAGAAGGTACTGCTAGCTGGTTGTTTCTATGGAAACACATCTTTACTTGTCCAACTCTTTAGACATGTAAAAAAAGAGGGTTTGACAGGCTTAGCTGGGGCCATTAACTTCACCATGAGACTGGTCTCCCCACTGCAGCAGCTCCTTCCACCACAGAATCCCACCCCATAGATACGAAGCCACGGGCTTGGATGGGACCCACAGATATCCCAAATCATCACTGCCTCCTGCTCTATAGCAATGCAATCAAATGAGTGCAGCTAATATGTGGGGTTTGTGAAAGGATCACAGCACCGCTTAGCAGAGCAGCTCATTTTTATGCAGGAAGTTCCTGGTGCTGGGAAAGACTGACCACTGCCCTGGAGGTACCACATCAGAGTCGACCATCTTGGTCTGACTCAGGGTAAGGCAGCACCACACATTCCTAGTTTCTTGAATCCTCGCCTTTGTTGGAACAACACAAGAGCCTTTGTTCTGGGCAGATTTATTTTGGTCATTCGCAGCCTACATGTGAAAAGAACGTGCCGTCTGATGGGTGGGTCTTTCCTCACATTTCTACTTCCCTTTTGGGAAAGGGCTGCAGCTCCGTCAGAAGAGCATCTGACTTGTATGCAGAACGTCTCAGGTTCAATCTCCAGTTAAAGCTGGGAAATGGCCCTGCATGATGCCCCTGGAGAGCCATCATTGTACAGCTGGACCAGTGGCCTGACAGAGATTAAGGCAGCTGCCTATGGACCATTTCCCCAAAGGCCCAGAAGTCCGTATTAACTTGCTCCTCTAATTCTCCAGGCCAGAGATTTTCAACCTTTTGGGGTCCACAGCTCACTGCATTCTTTCTGTGGCACCCCTGTGGGGCTCAGGAGCCCAGTTGTGTCACCCCTTGCCTGCAGGGCTGGCAGCCTCTCGCCCTTTTCCGAACACCCTCCCTTGGGGGTCCTCCTCTCCTCTCTCTTCTCTCCTTGGGAGTCCTCTGGGCAGCTGCTGCTGCTGCAACAAACAGCTGTGCAAGCCTTTGGGAGGCAGAGACTTGAGAGGGCATCAGAGGAGGGAGGGAAGGAAAGAGGGACAGAGGCCAGTGTTGCCTGCAGCACCCTTGACCATCAGTCAAGGCACCCCAGGGTGCCACAGCACACGGGTTGAAAGCCATTGCTCTAGGCCCAAGTCCCTTCTTGAAGAAATTTCTCTCTCTCTCTCTCTCTCTCTCTCTCTCTCTCTCTCTCTCTCACACACACACACACACACACACACACTCCATGCTTGTTTCCTCAGAAGTAAGTCCTACTGTGTTCAGTAGGGCTTCCTTGTAGGCAAGTGTTCTTAGAATCGCTGCCACAGCTTCTATGTTGAGGTGGGGAACCATTTTTCCAGCCCGAGGGCCACGTTTCCATCTGGGAAAGCTTTTGAGGGCCACACGCCAGAGATAAACACAGACGGAGCGGCAAAGCTAACAGCTAAAATAAGAGAACCTAATGACGAAGGTTTTGTGGAAGAACGGAAACCCATTTCGGATTATTAAAGAAGTATTATTATATGATGAACGTGTGAGCAGGATTTGAACTATGAGCAACAGACGGGATCTAAGATTCCAGCAGTTTTGTTAAGGTTTAGGAGATAGTAGACAGGATGCAGCAGAGGGAGAGGAACAGAAACACCATGGAAAAGAGGAAGGGAAGTTGGGGCAGAGTTTTTATTGAAATGTATGTGTGAAATTCGTGGGGGGGGGGACCCAAACTTTTACCCTCTTGCACCCCTGGTCTATTCTTGATCCAGGCAAGCAACAGGCCTTATGAGAGTTCAAAGACACATTCCCAGCTGGGCAAAACAACAGTCAAGGGGAAGGGTGCCAGGCAGGGCCAACAAGGATGTAGCCAGGGAGAGTTCTGAGGGCCACATAGAGAGGGTTGGAGGGCCCCGTTTTGCCCCAAGTTTCCCACCTCCGCTCCATGAGGAGGAGCTTTTGTTGACTTCGGCTCCTCCACATGGAGGACTACGACTCCCATCACCAAGGGCTAATGGGAACTGGAGTCCAAAACATCTGGAGGGCACCAGGTTGGCTGACGCAGAGAAGACGGCAGTCTAATTTGAGAAAGCAGAGGAAGTCAAAGCCAGAGGGTGGGGAGAAGGGTGGTCCATCAGGGGGATGCCGAGGGCCCACATCCATGCAGCTGTGTGGAGGCGTTAGCTCTGGCAGCTATTCCCATCTCTCTCGGGAGTTTCATTTCAGCTTTCCCTTTGTCTGCGGCCGGCCTGTTCCGTGCAGGGGACTTTCTGATAATGTGGAACCAAAAAACAACCCCTTTCCCCCCCCCCCTAAAGCAGAACACAAGAGGCAGAACAGATTGAAGAGGACGAAGGAGAAGACGGTGGAGAAACAGAAGAACTGAAGTGTCAAGTCGACTCTAGAGGAAAAGGTAAAATTAAAACAGGCAGCAGCAGAGTTATATTTTATGCTTCTCAAGGGGCCTTTTTATCGTTGGAGACAAAAGTAGGGATGTTTCGTCTCTGCACACATGGGGGAAGTGAGTGCAGGCGGGAAACGAAAAGGCTGTCAAAGGCATTGTGTTGGGGGGGGGACCCTGAAAATGATGAGTGGTTGCTTAAACAGGGACTGTTAGGGGCCGTCCTCAAAGGGCAAGACAGGGAAGTGAGTGTGGCCCTCCCAAATGGCCACGGTCAGGGAGGCTCTTGCAGGACTAGTCTTGCTAACTTGCCTGCAACCCCACAGCTCCACGGCCAAATCCTCAGTCCTTTGCAGCCCTGCTTCCTTCTTCCTAGAGAACCCAGGAGTCCGGCTTTCTACCTTAACCCTGTCCTCATACAGATTTCAGGAATCCGAAGACAGAACCCAATTCTGAAAAGACACAGGCTTGGCTTAATTTAAGCCTAGGCTTAGCCCCAGAAGAACACACACACACACACACACACACACACACACACTCAGTGTTCAGTGGTGCCAGGGCTTAAGTCCTGGACCAAAATGAATGTTTCTGAGCATGTGTTGAGTGCTTTTTACTCCCTGCTGAATAATAATAATAATAATAATAATAATAATAATAATAATAATAATTTATTATTTATATCCCGCCCATCTGGCTGGGTTTCCCCAGCCACTCTAGGCGGCTTCCAACTGAACATTAAAAACAATACAGCATTAGACATTAAAAACTTCCCTAAAGAGGGCTGCCTTCAGTTGTCTTTTAAAAGTAAAATAGTTGTTTATTGCCTTGACATCTGCTGGGAGGGCGTTCCACAGGGCAGGCGCCACTACCAAGAAGGCCCTCTGCCTGGTTCCCTGTAACCTTACTTCTCTCAATGAGGGAACCGCCAGAAGGCCCTCGGCGCTGGATCTCAGTGTCCGGGCTGAACGATGGGGGTGGAGACACTCCTTCAGGTATACAGGACCAAGGCCGTTTAGGGCTTTAAAGGTCAGCACCAACACTTTGAATTGTGCTCGGAAACGTACTGGGAGCCAATGCAGATCTCTCAGGACCGGTGTTATGTGGTCCCGGCAGCCACTCCCAGTCACCAGTTTAGCTGCCGCATTCTGGATTAATTGCAGTTTCCGGGTCACCTTCAAAGGTAGCCCCACGTAGAGCGCATTGCAGTAGTCCAAGCGGGAGATAACCAGAGCATGCACCACTGGTGAGACAGTCTGCAGGCAGGTAGGGTCTGCAGCTAGACTCCTGGCAGCCTGCATTAGGATGAGAAAGGAAGAACTGGAGTGTTTGTTGCAGATGATGATTTTTCATAAGACCCTGGAGTTTTCTGGGTCTTGTTTTATAGGGTAAAACCCAAGAGATATTTGGAACTAGGTTTAGTGGATAAGGGTCTTTGTGTCTTATATAACATAATAGAATTGTTAGAAGTATGTGTCTGAACCCACATGCGTGTACATCACTCACATGTATTCATACACACACTTTTAAAGAGGTTTGCGATATTTTGCTGTAATTATAATGTGCATCTGTTTTTTGAATACGTGCGTCACCCTTAACCGTACGCCCACAAGAAATTCATATACAAAGGAATAAAGAAAGCTTGTTTTATTCTATGAAATGAAAGCAACAGAATAACAGCAAAGTTACAATTTAAGCAGGCAGCAAATTCCACAACACAAACCTTGAACTAAAGAGGGGGAGAATGCCTACATATTCTCAAAAGCCTACAGAAGTGAGCATGAAAAAATTGTCCCAGAACTCACACTTCTTAATAAAAGTTAAGAAATGCCACTGACTACAAATCTTAGGGTTCCTTACAGACTTTTCTTCATTTTGAAAGGAAGGGGCCCTTCAGATGAGCATTTCTATCGCCTTTTCCTTGCAATTCCTGCTCAGCTTCATCTCTCCCATCTTGCAGATTAATTGTGTTAAAGAAAACCACCTGGTGGGTGTTGGCTAAACAAACCGGGCATCCTTTGTTTGCTTGCTGCCTTCAAACCATCTCACCTTTATCTTGATGGCCCCATTCAGGTGGTGAAATAGACTACACTGGCAACTAAATTTACACGTGCTCACCTTTATGCAAGGTGTGAGGAACACAATATGTTTCCTGAATGCCTTCAGGACATGGTTTGAGACCAGGCTGGTACCAGGGTTGCAAAAGTTCATGATGGAGGGTCTCCTGTCATTTTAGAGTTATGTCAGTTTTCTTGCCTGTGCCATGATCTACACCACAGAATAAGTTCAGATTGACACACGATCCTATGTTTGAAGTGCTTTGAATAATATTTGGAGGATATCTGGCTGGTGTAGATACAGGCAGGAGAAATGGGGCAGAGTCCAAAGAAAGGTAAAACAGAGATTTAACACATAAGGTAAAGGTAAAGGTACCCCTGCCCGTATGCGCCAGTCTTGCCAGACTCTAGGGTTGTGCGCTCATCTCACTCTTTAGGCCGGGAGCCAGCGCTGTCCACAGACACTTCCGGGTCACGTGGCCAGCGTGACAAGCTGCATCTGGCGAGCCAGCGCAGCACACGGAACGCCGTTTACCTTCCCGCTGGTAAGCGGTCCCTATTTATCTACTTGCACCCGGGGGTGCTTTCAAACTGCTAGGTTGGCAGGAGCTGGGACCGAACGACGGGAGCGCACCCCGCCGCAGGGATTTGAACCGCCGACCATGCGATCGGCAAGTCCTAGGCGCTGAGGTTTTACCCACAGCGCCACCCGCGTCCCATGATTTAACACATAGATTATGATTAATAACAGTAAGAGAATAATAGCCCAACCTGCAAGTGAGTTGCAGGGTCAATCTTGTTGGAAATCCTTCATTTTAAAGTGACGCCTTGATAATAATTTATCATCTAAAAGCCCTAGAGCAGGTGTGGGAAACGTTTGGCCTTCCAGATGTTGCTGAACTACAACTCCCACCACCCCTTCCCATTGGCCAGGTTTGCTGAGGTTGCAGGAGCTGTAGTTCACCAATATGTGGCGGACCAATGGCTCCACACACCTGTCACAGAACAGTAGTACAGGTACTCAAAATACAGGGGCACTAAATAGTCTAAAGAAATTTCAGTAGTAAAGGGTGGGAGTGGATGATCCTGGAAAGAAGCTGGACCAAATTCTGTAGACCCACCACCCCAATGTGCCTGGAAAAATACTTGCCACCTCCCCCCCCCGTGCCTCTCATAGGTGTGGTACAGGTGCAAACCCAACAGGTTAGGCCTTTCCTAGCATAAAGATGCTGTAATGGGGGAAACGTCATTTGATGAATTTCTGTACAGTGGTACCTCAGGTTACAAACGCTTCAGGTTACATACGCTTCAGGTTACAGACTCCACTAACCCAGAAATAGTGCTTCAGGTTAAGAACTTTGCTTCAGGATGAGAGCAGAAATCGTGTGGCGGCAGCGGGAGGCCTCGTTAGCTAAAGTGGTGCTTCCGGTTAAGAACAGTTTCAGGTTAACGACAGACCTCTGGAACGAATTAAGTACTTAACCCGAGGTACCACTGTATTATGTATTTGTTAAATGCACAAAGGCCCTAAAAACCAGTTTTTTAAAATGTACATGTAAAAAAAGGTAAAAAAAGAAGAAGCAGTGCCCTCCATTCAAAACAAAACAAAAAGCCTATTTGCCATTCTGAACTCTCTCAGGCCTCTGAAGACCACAGAGCAACCAACTTTTGCGCAATAATGTTTAGAAAGGAAACTCATCTTCCTCTCATCTCATCTCTTCCCTTCTCTCAGCAGATGGCTGCTGTGGTTGCCGGTCTGGCTCGGCTCCTACAGCCAGCCATGATGTTCCCTGGAGGTGAGCCTGGCTGCCGAGACCTGGCCCCCTGGTATCTCCTTCTGGGGCTACGGCTGGTGGCCCTTTTCATCGCCGACGGGCCCTGGTCCTCTCCCAGCCCTGACCTGGTCTGCAACTGGACCTCGGTGGAGGCGGACAGTCGGCCTTTCTGCAGCGCACTGTGCTTCAACCGCCACTTTCCTGCTCCCGTCTCCTCGGCGTGGGGTTTTGCCTTTTTGGCTGCCCTGCTCCCAGTGGGGCTAATGGGGCTCATAAGGACTGGATCCAAGCACAGGAGAAAGGCGGCAAAGGAAGGAGATGAGGAGCTCACTGACATCACTAGTGTGAGCCACGACATGGCCGCCGGATCCAGCATGGCTCCCGGAACGATTCCTTTGCCCAAAATGGTTCCGTCGGAATCCAAGATGTCCCCCCGTTGTACCTGGCCCTCAGCGGCCTTCGTTTTCTGCGTGTTTCTCCTCATGGCCACGGAGCTGGGCTTCTTCTGGGTTGTGATATTTTTGCAGATCCCATCAGTGCTTCGCACAACCTTCTTATGCCTTCCAGGAGCACACTCCTGCCCTGAGGCACTCGAATGTGCCCTGGCAGGCCAAGCCGACAAGCACATGGCACTGTGGACGTTGGCTTTCACAGCTGTTGTCAACATGGCGGCTTGCCTGGCCTACCTTCTCCTGACTCTAGGGAGGGCTTTCCGATGCCACAGAGGAAAATAACACAGCCAAAGATGAGTGCAGGGCCAGCCCACCCATGAGGCAAGGTGAGGCGACCGCCTCATACAGCAGGATCCACAGGGGCAGCGGGTCCCAATGCAGTTCTTTATTCCCCCATGTTCCTGAGGTAGATCTTCACTCATTTTCCCCTGGTGGGGATGTGGCAAAATTTATTGAGCTGGCCCTGGAGAAGAGAATGCAAGAAAGTGGACTGTGAAGGAGACCAATGACATATTCCGTAACTGCCCATCCACATGGATTATTAACACGTCGGGGAACTTTTATCAGCATTTTAGCCTGAATTTCTACCAGTAAACATACATTTGTATGCAGTTTTGACTTATGCACATGTTTTTGCAAGGTCATCATGCATACAGTATTTGTATGCCGTTTTTACTAACATGTTCGTTTTTGTAATGCATTTTGGTAACCATTTGTTTACTACATCCTAAAATATGGACGGTGTGAATTTCAAAAGTTGGCTGTCTTTCACTTCTCATGTTGTTACGGAAAGCGTGCATTTCATAGGCTTGCCTTTAAATCTGAATATAATTTCCCCCCCATCCTTAGTGGTGGACAGCAACCAGGAGAGCTTTAAAAGAGAGGCTTAAGACAAATGCATGCGGGGTAAAGCTATCAGCATCTTACAGCTACAATGACTATGTTCTCCTTCCAGCCTCTGTGGCAGGGATGTCTCTGAATGCCAGTTGCTGCGAATCGCAAGTGAGGAGAGTTGCTCTTGTCTTGCACGCAGGTCCTGCTTTCAGGCTTCTGACAGATGTCTAGTCGGCCGCTGTAAGCAAATGATGCTAGTCTAGACGGGTCGCTGGCCTGAGCCAGCAGGCTCTTCCTATTTTATTATCTCTCTCTGTGTGTCTGGGGTCTCCCCCAGACACACACGGCCCATTTTGAAGTCAACTGTTGTATTTCGTACCTGATAATTTTTCTTAGCTGTATCATATTTGCTGCTTGCATTGGCATGTCAGTAAACCATTTTTGTTTATCTTTCTGAAACGTGTGGTTCGTTCTCTGCAACGGGGATGAAGAGGGGGAGGTCAGCCGACCACAAATAAAAGGGATAAAAAAGTATAATTGCTTTATTCCTAAGATTTAGTAAGCTGCAAAACGTTTTAAGTGTTTTACCCTGCTAAAAAGGCTTCGCAGCTCTCTTACTTTTCATCTTTCTCCCGCACACATGGGATAGGAGGCTTAAATTTTAATCTGCAGATTTAATCCTCCATCTCCGACATAATCCACTTTAACTGCACAAACCAACATTTCATAGAAAGGACTTTAATCCTTCCTGTCAAACACCAGCAGTCTGGAGCTGTCTTGAGTGCTCTCTTCCTCAGAGGAAAGTTCTTTATGGGTCTTACCTGCTCCAGACCTGATGGCATCACTCCTTCCAGCTTCATGGCCTTGTTTTCCATTCCTTGGTAGTGCCAGAATGTGACATGACCTGGGAAACTGGCTTTGTCTGAGGACCAGAATCAGTGCTCCCTGCACACATGGCATAATTCAGTAGGCCACTGTGAGAACAGGATGCTGGTCTAGACGGCCTGTTTTTATATTTTAAAAGAGAGGAATTACAATGCCCCCCTCAGTCTTAATTAATTGTGAACCTTGGATGCCTTTGCAGGCATCCAGGAGGAAGATAAAGTGATGAGGGGTTATGCACACAACAGCAGCTGTAGGAACAGCGGAGCCTGGTGCATTAAGGGGTTGTTATAAAAATTTAAGGTCTCAAATATATAAATTAAATTTAAAAATTGTCCAGTAGCACCTTAGAGACCAACTAAGTTTGTTCTGGGTATAAGCTTTCGTGTGCATGCACACTTCTTCAGATACACTGAAACAGAAGTCACCAGACCCTTATATATAGTGGGAGGGTGGGGTTTTTCTCAGAAGGTAGTGGGAGATGAGTGATTGACTCAATGGGTATGGTAAACCTGTTGACGACTGTTGAAGAAGTGTGCATGCACATGAAAGTTTATACCCAGAACAAACTTAGTATCTAAGGTGCTACTGGACAAATTTTTATTTTTTTATTTATTTCGACTGCGTCAGACCAACAAGGCTACCTACCTGAATATAAATTAAATGTTCATAAATTTACAAGGTAAAACACATGCATATGTATATAAACCACGTGTCTGAAACAGTACAGGAGCGCAATCCTGAAACCGTTTTCACTCTCCCAAATTGACCTCAAATGTTTCTCTGCAAGGAGGAAGGAAATGGGAAAGCCTCTCATTGTCTTTTGCTCACCTGTCTTTAGGGCATCTTTGTGTATGAATAGGATGAGTCTGTGACCTGGATTCAGGAATTAAAGTATTTACCATCACAAAAGAATGGCCGGGCTGCCCAAGTAAAGCAATCACTGGCCATTGTCAGGTATCCTGGAAGACAGGATTTCTGTTGTAGACCGCCCCCCCTGTGATATATTTCTGCTATACCCCGCCTCCTTCTGTGATGTATGTATGAAGTTTTTGGGGGTAGTCTTGAGCTACAGGGTGGGCAATATAAGTTTATATAAGGTCTTGTGCACCATTGTTCTGGGTTCCTCCTCCCTCCTGCGTGGGGTGAGTGAAAACCCTGTTGCAACAGCAGTAATAAAAATCAGGTTTAATAGCCGCTTTGCTCTGACTTGATCGTGGTTGATAGTTTCCTTCCTGTGACTGATAAGTAACCTTTTAGATTCTTAATATGGGTTTCCCGGTAAGCCTCCTGCAGGCAGAGAAACAGGTTTACTGAATACCGTTTTCAGGGTGAATCGGGTGTTGCCCAGCAACCTAAAGTCCGGCCCCCAGCCAGCTTCCCCCTGCCTGTCTTCTTACTTACAAGCAGTCCATTAGGCTGGTATTGCTACAATCTGAGACTGTGCCTACATGTCTACCTTTGCTCCTCCCGCTTCATGCCTCTCCTGGTCCTAGGAGACCAGAGGGGAGGGCAGCTTGCTGCAGCAGGAGAGAGAGACCCTTATGACTCTACACCCGCCTGACTCATCTCTGCCTCTGGGCCTCCCTCCTCTTCTGCTTCAGCTTCTGGGCTTTTCTCTGCCCTAGACTCTCCCAGCTCACTAAGCCCTGTTACCGCTTCAGCTTCTGACACCTCCTCCCCCCCCAGTCTGCTCCCTCTGACCACTCATGGTTGTCCCACCACCACTCCCTGAGCTCTGAGCCTTCTTCCCTTGGGGGTTCCCCAGCCAGTTCCTCCCACCATTCCTCTGCATCCAACCAGTCCCCAACACTGCATATATCTGTATCTGCAAAAGCCTACAATCCACACTGGTTTGTTGAGCCTTATCTTCTGCAACAGTGAACTCACTGAACCTTTCTCTGTTTCTGTGTGATGACTGGCACTGGGAGAAGCTATCACTGTGTGGGTATCTCCCCTGAGATTTTCAGCAGGTACTGCCTATCAGTTTCCTCTTCCTTCATCACAGACCTCAGCAGGGAAGAGGAAACATTTAGGGAATCTTTGGAAAAGCAAAACTCTGGCCTCAGTCTGTGCATACAGTTAGGCACCTTACACCTCTTCTTCAGGGCTGAGAGAGCTATCAAAGCAGCACCGCAATGCAGTCTCCCAGGAGAAATGCCTATATTTTTTCTTTTTTGCTATCCATAGTCACAGTTGCTTCATATCATGCATATTATATCTTCAATCAAACCTAACGAAAGCTTGCCGAAACACATCCTGATGTAGACAAGGTCCCCCCCCCCCAGCTCCTTTTGAAAACAAGTTATATCTCATAAGATGATCAGATAGATACTGGGCTGGGCAGCCTTTCCACCTGCAAGGCTTGGTAAGAAGTCTGACAGCGGCACGTAGAGAGACAATAAATGCAAAATCCTTTCAAGGTGCTGTCACCTTCACCATCATCTTCATCATCATCGGTCTTTGCCAGCCGGGGCCGGCCCATGCTGTTTTGCTTCCTGCTGCAGACACAGCATTAAAAAACCAGTTTTTCCAGCTATGGCAACAAGATGATGGTGGTGGCTTTTCCTACTGTGGTAATGCCCAGGTGGCACTGCCTCAGATGCCACCTCACAGTGCCTCGTTCTCAGAGCAACGTTGTATGTGGCCTTCCTCGCATTGTGGGGCGAGATTTAAGATGGCAAATGCTCTTTGGGACTGGTCAGCCTATGAGCCAACCTCGTAGATTTCTCAAAGAATTGTAGCGTTGGAAGGAACCCTAGTGTTCAGCTCCCTGCAATGCCCACAGCCGTCCCTGGGTGGACTCAAACCACCAACCTTCTGGTTCACAGCCAAACACACCAACGCATTGTGCCACTGGAGCAGCTGTGCCCGGTATATGGGGCACAAGGGGCTTCAGCCCCCTCAATATTTTGAGGCAGGGAACGCAGCTCGCACCCCCAATATTGAAGGGGCTGCCATCCCCTGCCACCCTGGGGCAAACGCCGGCGTGCCAGGCGGGAGGCTTGGGAGGGGGGCGTTTCTCGCCCTCCGCGCCACCTGCTGCGATCGCCAGAGCATCCCAGCAGGTGTGGCCCACCAGAGGGCATCGTGTGTGTGATGTCATGCATGCGCAACAGCCCCCCTAATGTGGGGCCCATGTTGACACGCCTGTGCTGCAGGCCTATTCCAGCTTTGTCCCCATGCGCTCCCTGGATGAGTTCTACAAGAGGCAACACTGAGACTCCGGAGGATGAAGCTGGCAGCCACTGCCCCCACCCCCTGGACTGTCTGTGAGCAAGAAAGCAGGCCGGGAGGGGCAACAAAGGCTTGTGGGGCATTTCCCACGTTTGCGCCAGATTCCACTGCTTTGGCATGTGCCATCAAACCCCAAGTGGTTTTTGCCACTATGGCGAAGGAGCAGAAGTCCTCCTAGGGACTGGCTGCTGGCAACTCTTGCCTTGGGTTGCCTCCCTACCGCCTGCGATGATTGTTTATTCGATTTTTTGCACTGCTGTAAATGCACAGACATCTTAAGAAGCAAAAAAGTGTCTCTCGTGTGCCTTTTATTTGGAGCAGTGCCTGGTAGCCATTGGGATTGGTAGGGCAGAGGGCAGGGAGGTCAACAGTAGGTGGCGCTAAAGCCAAGTGCAGGCAGAGGTCAACTAATTCTCATGTCATCCCTAGCTAACAGGACCAGTGGTCAGGGATGATAGGAATTGTAGTCCCAAACATCTGGAGGGCCGGAGTTTGCCTATGCCTGCTTTGGAGTGAATGGGTGGTATTCCTCTAGGGCCCCAGATTTGGCTGCAGAATCTCTGTTGCCTGATCCTGGCAATAAACTGTGATGGCATTGTAGATAAGACCTTCTTAAAGGCACTTATTTATGCAACAGGGTGTAATGTACATGGCTTTCCAGTAAGTATTTCCTCAGTGCTTTCATTACATGCAAATTTCCAGAAGTAGTTGTGTCTGGCAAGGAGACGCTTCTGTGCTTTCCTCCACACCCCCTGCTTTAACAATCCTATTTCCTTTAATAGTTCTCGCATCCTCCTGGACGCTTGAATTATTATGCATTATTGAACTGAATCATTAGGCTATCATGAACACTCATGTGTCCATGAATTATGATGTCTAAACAACCCTAGATCAAAAACAGAGCTGCAGTTCAAAAGACATGGCACAAAAAGAAAAAGCGATGGGAAGGGAAGAGGAAAACGAGCTGTCAGGCTTCATGTGTTTAAAAGCTGCATAGTTCTTATAATGGCCAGAGTTAGCAGAAACAGTTGAGGGAGGGAAGGAGCAAAACAGCAGCTGGTCTCTCAGCTGAGCTGATTTAGGGGGGTCCTGCCACCACACTTCTCTCTTCTTTTCTGCAGCCTGATGGAATAGCAGCAGCTAGCTCGACAGGCCCAATTTCCTACATTTTCTAATGTTCTGCATTTATTTATTTTTATTTTTTTGTCTTAAAAGAATGCACACAAACAATCCCGGAACTTTTACATTACCAGCTGATTCTAATTAGCCGGCAAAGTCAATCTGTCAGTCAGATTCTATCACTTAGGTGACTAATTAAAAATAACAAAAAATGCC